AAACCTCTTTCTGGTATTCTCTGCTTTCAATCAAGAACCATCAGTCATCAGCAATGATATCCCTTGTTCCACATCTTCTTCTGAATCCAGCATAAACCTGTGGAAGATCTCTGTCAATGTATGGTTGCAGCTGTTTTTGAATTATTGTAGGCAAAAGTTTACTTGCATACAATATTAATGATACTGTCCAATGATTTCTGCATTCCACTGGGTCACCTCTCTTTGGAATGGGCACAAATATGGATCTGTTCCAGACAGTAGGCCATTGTCTTCCAAATTTCTTGGCTATATGAGTGTGTGCCTCCAGTGCTGCATCAGTCTGTTGAAAGATTTCTATTTGTATTTCATCAATTCCTAGAGCCTTGTTCTTTGCTAATGTCGTCAATGTACCTTCTTCCTTCAGGATTATTGGTTCTTGATCATATGCTACCTCTTGAATGGTTGAACATTTACACAGTGACTCTGTATGTTCCCTTATATTTTCTTTTGATGCTTTCTGCATTATCCAATAGTTTGCCCATAGAATCCTTCAATATCGCAAGTCAAGGCTTGAATTTTTTCTTCAGTTCCCTCAGTTTGAGAAATGCTGAGCATATTCTTACCTTTTGGTTTTCTAACTCCAATTTTCTATACGTTTCGTTATAATATTTGACTTTATCTTCTTGAATTACCCTTTTAAATTTTCTATTCAGCTCTTAACTTCCTCATGTCTTTCATTTGCTTTAGCAACTCTATGCTGGAGAGCACGTTTCAGAGTCTCTTCTGACATCCATTTTGGTATTTTGTATCTTTCTTGTCTTCTTAATGACCTTTTGCTGGCTTCCTGTATGATGTCATCCTACAACTCTTCTGGTCTTAGGTCTTCAGTGTCTAATGCATCAAATCTGTTCTTCAAATGATCTCTAAATTCAGGTAGGATATGTTCAAGGTCGTACTTTGACTCTCATGAACTTGTTTTAATTTTATTCAGCCTGAACTTGCATATGAGCAATTGATGGTCTTTTCCACAGTCTTCCCCTGGCCTTGTTTTAGCTGATGACATGAATGTTTTCCACCACCTCTTTCCACTGATATAGTCAATTTGAGTTCTACTTATTCCATCTCATGAGGTCCATGTGTATAGTCAGTCGTCTGTTATATTGTTTTAAAAAAGGTACTTGCAATGAATTGTCTTGAGAAATTCTATTATGAGATCTCCAGCACAGTTTCTATCACCACGACTATATTTTCCAACAACTGATCCTTCCTCTGTTTCCAACCTTTGCATTCCAATCACCAGTAATTATTAATACATCTTGATTCCATGTTTGATCAATTTCAGACTGAAGAAGTTGGTAGAATTCTTAAATTTCTTCATCACTGGCTTTAGTGGTTGGTATGTAAATTTGAATAATAGTGTTATTAACTGTTCTTCCTTGTAGGCATATGGATATTATCCTATCATACTTCACACACATGTCTTGTACTTCAAGACATGTCAATACACACTTTTTGATGATGAATGCGTAGCCATTTCTCTTCAACTTGTCATTCCATTCCCAACATAGTAAACCATGTGAGTGATTGTCAGATGCCAATACCAGTCAATTTCAGCCACTACTGCCTAGGATATCGATATTTATGTTCTGTTTCATTCTTGACAATTTCCAATTTTCCTAAATTTATACTTTGTACATTCTTTGTTCTGATTGTTAATGGATGTTAACAACTATTTCTCTTCATTTTGAGTTGTGCCCCATTAGCAAATGAAGGTCATGAAGACTTTACTCCATTTGTGTCCACACAGTCAACTCCACCTTGAGAAGGCAGCTCTTCTCCAGTCATATTTTGAGTGCCTTCCAACCTGAGGGCTCATCTTCCTACACTGTATCTGGCAACATTCGGGTGCTCTTCATCATGTTTCATTATTCAATATTCAGGTGCTGACAGCGTTCTACTGCTATTCATAAGGTTTTCAAAGATTAAATATTCGGAAGTAGTCCATCTCTCCTTCTTCCTAGTCTGTCTTTGTCTGGAAGCTCAGTGAAACCTGTCCACTATGGGTGATCCTGCTGGTGTTTAAATACCCATGGTATAGCTTCCAAAATCACAGCAACACACAATCCACCACAGTATGACAAACTGACAGACGAGTGGTGGATATATATATTGTTGTTGTTAATTTCCATCAAGTCGGTACAGCTTCATAGCAACCCTTCATAGGGTTTCCAAGGAACAGCTGGTGGTTTGAACAGTTGACCTTGCGGTTAGCACTCCAGTGCTTATTCTACAGCACCACATCAGGACTCTATGTATACATATGTTGTTGTTGTTAAGTGCCATTGAGTTGGTTCTGACTCATAGTGACCCTATATAGGATTTCCAAGGAGCAACTGGTAGGTTTGAACTGCTGACTTTGTGGTCAGCAGCCCAGTGTGCCACACCAGGACTCCATATATACATATGGTGTTGTTACGTGTTATGAAGTTGTTGTTAAGCATCATGCCAAGAGGGTGTGTGTGTATATATACATATGTGCAGATATCTATATATATAGATATAGATACACATATATGTATGTGTGTGTACATATATATACACACTTAAAACGTTTACTGATGAAGATCAAAGAGCACAGTCTTCAGTATGGATTACGTCTCAATGTAAAGAAAACAAAAATCCTCACCATTGGACCAATAAACAACATTCTTATCAAAAGAGAAAAGATTGAAGTTGTCAAGGACTTCATTCTTCTTGGATCAACTATCAACACTCATGGAAGCAGCAGTAAAGAAATCAAACAACATATTGCATTAGGCAAATCTGCTGCACAAGACCTTTTGAAAGTGTTGAAGAGCAAAGATGTCAGCTTGAGGACTAAGGTGCGCCTGACCCAAGCCATGGTATTTTCAATAATCTCATATGCATGCAAAAGCTGGACAGTGAATCAGGAAGACTGTAGAAGAATTGATGCTTTGGGGTTATGGTGTTGGAGGAGAGTATTGAAGATGCCATGGGCTGCCAAAAGAACCAATAGATCTGTTTTGGAAGAAGTGCAGCCAGAGTGCTCCTTGGAGGCCAAGATGGCCAAACTTCGTCTCTGATACTTCGGACATATTGTCAGGAGGAACCATTCACTGGAGAAGGATATGATGTTTGGTAAGGTGGAGAGTCAGAGAAAAAGAAAAAGACCCCCAATGAGATGGATTGGCCAAGTGGCAGCATCAATGGATTCAAGTGTGGCAACAGTAGTGAGGTTGGCCCAGGATCAGGCAGTGTTTTGTTCTGCTGTGAATAAGGTCGCTATGGGTCAGTACGACTCGATGGCACCTAACAGCAACAACAACAACGTATGTATATGTGTGTGTGGTGTGTATATATATATATATCCTGGTATGGCACTGTGGGTTGATGTACTAGACTGCAAAGTCAGCTTGATCTGCAAGGTCAGCGGTTCATGTTCACCAGCTGCTCCTTGGAAACCCTACACAGGGTCGCTATGGGTTGGAACCAATATGACAGCACTTAACAACAACATATATGTTGAGTTCTGGTGCGGCATTGCAGGATAAGCACTGGACTGCTACCCACAAGGTCTGCAGTTCAAACCTACCAACCACTATGCATCAGAACTAACTCAACAGCACTTAAAAACAACATGTATGTACGTGTGTGTGTGTGTGTGTGTGTGTGTGTGTGCAGACCCTGACTACAGTGCAAATGATTAACATACTTGGCTGCTAACCAAAGGGCTGAGGGGTTTGAGTCCACTTAGAGGTGCCTCAGAAGAAAGACTTGGCAACTTGCTTGGGAAGGACAGCCATTCAAGACCCCATGGTGCGTCACTACTTCCAAACCCATGGCGCCAACGTGAGTCAGCGTAGACTCAACAGCCGCTGTTTTATAAATAAATACACATACCACATGTAGGAGGGAACTTCAAAAAGATCATGGAATAATGAAATTAAAAGACAATGGAATTTCCCCAGGAACTTTCTGAAGCCCATTGGTATGTACATTATTAAATCCATATACTTTATGTAAGCCTCCATAATCAAGCATGTTAATGTACCTGCAGTGCAATGTATCTGAAGTCGGGCCAATGTAGTGCCCAGCATTAGACCCATCCTGGTATGATGGTTATGAAAACGCTTTTCTAAGCTCTCTGGATTCCATCAATGCTGATTTGTCCTATACCCACACTACGTGCTCCTGTGCCAAGGGCTTCCCGACACTTGGCCAAATCCTTCCTATGCATTGTCACTGAGTCCTTGGGGCCACTCGATGACATGAGCTAGGTTACCCCATTTTACAGATATAGAAACTGAGGTTCAAGATGTTAAGTCATTTGGGATTTAAACCAGAAACTGTTGTTGTTGTTAAGTGCCTTTGAATTGGTTCTGGCTCACAGCGACCCTGTATGGTTTTCCAAAGTTGGAACCGACCTTGTGGTTCAAATTGACTTTTCGATCCAGTGCATTATAGCTAATGCTGTTTCCTACATTTTTTAATCTTGTTTTTTTTCAACTTCATTTTTAATGACTCAAGTTATACAGGACTACAATCCCATATAAAAATTTGGAACAATACAGATGAAGGTAAAACCACAAACCTTTGACACTGCTGCCCTTAGATGGGTACTAAGTGGCAGGCAGGGCTGAGCACAGGTATGAAGAGACCCAAGCTTAGGACTCTCCATCCAAGACCCTTTTCATCCATCCCAAGCTGCCAACAACTCAAAGCAACCCCATAGGACAGAGTAGAACTGCTCCACAGAGTTTCTGAGACTGACAATCTTTACAGGAACAAAAGGCCTCATCTTTCTCCCATGTGTAGCAGTGGCCACTCTTGTCTTCAAGGGTAACCAAAACACCCTCCTTTCCCCCCTTCTGTAGCCTTCCCTTTGCTAAGACTCCACGTTTAGTCTCTATCCCTTTGCCTCCTGCCTAAGATCCTCGTCCCTGGGACATGTGGGGCTCTTTCCAGCTCTTCCACCCACTTCCAGAGTCCCTCGTACCTTGTCAAGCTTGGTTCTCATACAGACTTTGTCTCTTCTTGGATTTCAGCTCCTTTAGCCACTGGGGAGACGACTCCTCTGACCTAAAACCACAGATCCGTAGAGTTGAGTCCACAGATTTTATGTAAGCCTCACCAGAAGTCCCCTGTGGACAGGGCTCTGTGGTGCCCAGAACAGCTAGCCAAGGGTTCATGCTAGCAAGAAGTCAGAATGAAGGAACCATAACCAATTGAGGAGGCAGGTTCTTAGCTAAAAGGTGTGACTGTTCAGCCCTGAACACAGCCAAGGAACAACTGAGGTTCTACCTGGCTGGTCTGGGGGACAGCTGTAAGCAGAGTTGGTGTGCATTAAACAATCCTGAAATGGTCACAAAGAAGCCTTTCTGTGTTAAACAACACCATTTCCAAAGATAATGTACAAAACAAAACCCACCAAGGCAGAGTAGAAATGCTACAGCATAGAGTTCTAATCACTCCTGGCACATTGGTATATAACACTGAAAAAGGGGTGCTTCTGTTGACCCTAGGGGACAGCTCCCTCCACCAGCAGACTGGGTATTGCAGTGGGGGGCTCAGTTCCTGACCAGCTGCACTGTGTTCCTCACCCAGGTGCCTCCATCTGGAGGGCTCTGTATCGGGGGCCGTTGGCAAAGGCCCTCCTTGGGTGTCTCCACTGATACCTCCTTATCAGGGGTCAGGGACCCTGAGGCCACACAGCCCACTCTGACATAATCTCAGGGGGGCGGGGGCCCTGAGGTCTTGTAGCCCACTCTGACACATTATTGGGGGCCATGAGGTCACACAGCCCAATTTGATACATTATCAGGGGGCCCTAAGGTCATATAGCCCATTATGACACATTATTGGGGGACCATGAGGTCACATAGTGTGCTCTGACACATTATCGGGGGCCTTGAGGTTGTGTAGCCCATTGTGACACATTACTGAGGGGCCATGAGGTCACGTAGCCTGCTTTCACACAACACTCAGAGTACTTCCTCTCCTTCCACTGTCTGGCCCCAACTCCATCAGCCTACAGAAGCCATTTGTCTTCAGGGTCTCCAGCTACTGGGATGCCTGTCTGAGAGCCCTGGAGGCAGGAATCACTCTGTGCCCCAGGGCCTGGCCCAGAGCTGGAGCTCCATGAGGGAGGCTGAACGAGCTGATCTGGTCTAGGCTGTGCCCCTTCCATCTCGCTTCCTGGGCCTCAGTCCCCTCAAGGCAAAGATACCTCCCTGTAGGACAAGGAGGGAGAAAGCCTCAGTTTCCCCATCAGTACTTGCTTCTCAATAAGGGAGTCCTGGGTTTCCCAAGAGGTGCTAGCAGAGCAAATGGAAGTGGTCGGCCCAGCTGGCCTGATCCCCGGTTCCCTCTCCCTGTCTCAGGCTTTGGTGAGCCAAGCTGCTGCTAGAGAAGAAAACAGCTTGAAACATCCTCCAGACGCACAACCCGAGTTTGGGAGGAGAGAAACCCCCATTCATGAGAGCCCTCACCACACATCCTTGTCCACACTCGGAGGCAGGACACGGCTGCCCAGCATACCAGGCTGGAAGGGGGACTTGGGTGTCTTGGGCTGGGGGGTCCGGGGGAGGTTCTCGCCAGGACTGTCTACCTCTTGCCGCTTGTGCAGTTGAGCCTGGGGAGAGAGGGGAGAAAGAGGAGCGTCTGGGGATGGGTCCACACCATGCACTGTCAATGCAAGGGGATCCCTAGTGCCTGAAGGGACCCAGGCATAAAATGGGGAGCTAGGTGGGGAGGGGGAGAGGGACAGGATACTCCCTGACCTCAGGGGATGAGAACGAACAGAGGCCAGGTCAGAAGTCATCAAATAGTAACCAACCCAGAAAACCCACACCACAGTGGAGTGAGTCATCTCTGACTGAAATGCTGTGATTTGACGTGTTCTCGGTTCACTTCCCAAGAACCCGAGAATAGAGACAGCCACCCTGATGAGATTTGGACATACATGACTCCCATGTACACATAAATAAAATGCAGCTTTTGAGTGCTCTGGCAGTCCTGTGGGCTAGCAGTGAGCTGCTAACTGCAAGGTCAGCAGTTCAAACCCACCAGGCACCACTTGGGAGAAAGATGAGGTTGTCTGCTCTCATACGAAAGCGTATGGAGGGGCCACTGTGAGTCCCGGTCAATCTGATGGCAGTGGGTTTGTCTTTTTGGTTTGTCTTTTCCCCCAGAAAAATGGCAAGGTGGATTTTGACCCAGTTTTGGAGGGTGGAATGGTTACTTTCACATGCTGACTTGACTATGGTATTGTGCACAGTTGATTGTTCAAGAACTAGCATATATACAAGTTGTTGTTAGGTGTTCAAGTTGACTCTGACTCATAGCCACCCTATGCACAACATCACAAAACACTGCCTAGTCCTATGCCATCCTCACAATTGTTCTTATGTTTCAGCCCATTGCTGTAGCCACCAAGTCAATTCATCTTGTTGGGAGTCTGCCTCTTTGTCACTGACTCTGTACTTTTCCAAGGATGATATCCTTCTCCAGGGACTAGTCCCTCCTGATACTAGTTACATGTGATGAATCAGTTAACCTTAAGTAAAGCAGATGGCCCTCCATAATGGGGTGGGTCTTGTCCAATCAGTTGAAGAATCTGAGAGCAAAACTAAAGGGAGTTTCTCTAGAGTGCATTCTGTGTCTAACACAAACAATCTCTCTCTCTCTTACTCACTATGCATGTATATACCTAAAGAGGCTTCAAAAAGTTCGTGGAAAAATGGAATGATAATGAATTTTTTCCACTCACTTTCTGAAGCCCCAAAATATATATGACAAGGCTTTAAAAAGTGGATTTTCATATATGTACATTTATGTATATGTATATATGTGTGTGTGTGAGAGAGAGAGAGAGAGAGTCCTGTGGTGGCACTGAATGATCTATACTATCCATTAGGTTGGCAGTTCAAACTCACCAGCTGCTCCTCAGTAACCCTGTACAGGGTCGCTAAGTGTCGGAACCGACTCGATGGCACTTAACAACATGTATACTTGAATATATATGCCAGGGCTTCAAAAAGTTTGTGGGAAAATTCCATTATCTTTTCACTTTTCCAGGAACTTTTTAAAGTCCCCTAGTATATAGGGATTCCTGGTGGAACAGTGGTTACAGCACTCAGCTGCTAACCCAAACGTCAGTAGTTTGAACCTACCAGCTGCTCTGTGGAAGGAAGATGAGGCAGTCTGCTTCTGGAAAGACTGACAACCTCGGAAGCCCTCTGGGGCAATTCTACTCTATCCTATAGGGTCACAATGAGTCAGAACCGACTTTGGTAATATGTGAGGGGGACTTCAAAAAGTTCATGGGAAAAAATGGAATTTTTCTATGAACTCTGTGAAGTGCCCTCATATATATATAGTAGTAGGGCACTATAGGATAAACACTGGACTGCTTACCAAAAGATCGACAGTTCAAACCCACCAGTCACTCCTCAGAAACCCTATTCAGGGTGATGATGAGTCAGAACCAACTCAACAGCACTTCACAACAACATGGTAGCAGTCTCACCTTCCATGCAGGAGACCTGAGTTCAATGACCCGCTGACACACATGCTCTTTGGAGGCATATGCACTGCTACGATGCTGAGCAGGTTTCAGCGGGACTTCCAGAGTAAGACACGAGGAAGCAAAGCCTGGTGATCTACGTACACAAGCCAGCCAATGAAAACTCTATGGATCACAGTGGATCATGAGGATGGCGTAAGACCAGGCAGCATTTTGTTCCATTGTTGGGCATGGGGTTGCCATGATTTGGGAACCAACTGGACATAAGCTATCCCCAGTACCTTGAGCATAGCTGGATCCATGCCTGGGAATGCGGGCATCCTCTGAGGATGGCTGGTGGGTGTCCTTTCAGCTCTGGGAGGATTCTCCTCTTCATCCGACTCTTCCCTCCTGGGGGATTTCTCTTCTGTGGCAAAGAAAAGGGCACTGAAGTCACGGAGTTACTGTGTACACATCGTCTTCACAACAGGGAAGACACGAGTGTCCCATTTCACAGATGTGCATAAACCCAACCCACTTCACCTCCATTTCTTTCTTTCAGAAGCTCACAATGTTCTACAGAGATGGAGTTTCTCCTGGGCTAGACACAGACTGCCTCCTGGGCTCCTGGCTCATTTCACATCAGGGAAATAGAAGTAAATCTTTGCTGGAGGCAGCAGGAGACAAAGACACACACTCTGCAAAGCAAGCCACGTGTGGAAAGCTGTGTGCATCTCACAGAAGGGGCCAGAAAGCTATTCTCTTTTCAGGGAACTCCCAGTTAGAGACCTTAATCCTGTCACCTGCTCCTGCCTCGTGGGATCTTGTTTAGGGATCACCTGAACAAGACATTTCTAAGATGGCCTGCCTGGGACTACTCTTCTCAGAGTGGAGAAAGACAAGTTTCCACCTCTCTGAGACACGGCCACTAGATGAGGCACAGTGGCTGGAAGGGTAGGGAGGCAAACAGGACCTGGTCCATGGGAGCCCCAGGCTCATATAAGAAGCAGGCATGTTCTACAAGGAAGTCTCCAGGCCCTCCCCAGTCATTGTCCTGACAGGACCTAGACATCCTGCAGGAGTACTCCAAGTTGGAGGCACTGGAATATTTCCCTCTCCACTATGGCATTCTTTTTCTCCCAAAGGCTTAACTGAATTTGGCTCAGAAAACCAAGCATGTGTGTAGAATGCAGTCACCCATGGATTTAATACAACTGGCTGCGTGGACTCCCAGCTTATCCAGTCCATGGAGAAGAGGGATGGGAGAGAATGACATAACCCCCGCAAGCAGTGGTTTAGGGTATCTGGTCAGAAGCGTACAGCTGGGTCGGACACCATATTATTTGCCAGAAGCAGACCCAGCAATCCCAGTCTTAAAACTATACCCAGAAATGAAGACAGGAATGGAAACAGAAACCTGCATACCAATGTTTGTAGCATTACTTTTCACAATAGCTAAAATATGGGAATAATCCAAATGTCCATCAACAGATGAGTAGATAAACACAATGAGGTATAGGCATGTGTCAGTCATGAAGAGCTATGGAGTCCTGATGCATGCCACCCCATGGATTAATCCTGAAAACGTTGAGCTGAGTACAATATGTCAATCACAAAAGGGCAAAGACTGAACTCACTATTATGAAAGAAGCAAATATAAAGATACCAAGGATTACTAGTAAGCCGCACCCCCCATCCCGCATGATGGGAGGGAGGAGACAAGGGGGAGGTTTTGCTCAGGAACTATTGAGCTTATGTAGATGGTGGTGGAATGATCTGGAAAAGAATAACAAGCATGGCTGGACAATATGAAGAACGCCATCAGTGTCACACTGACGGCGTAGAAATTGTGTTAGCGAGTGTTTTGTTGTCCATCTTTTTAGCACAATTTAAAAGAGAAAAAGAATGGAGTGGGAGAAAGTCAGCTACAAGGAAATAAAACTGCTTCTTCTTATAACTCTGGTGTTGGTGGTAGTTATGTACCGTGGAGTCGGTTCCGACTCATAGTGATCCTCTACAGGGTTTCCGAGGCTGTAAATTTTTATAGGAGCAGAAAGCCTCATCTTTCTCCCGCGGAGCGGCTGGTAGTTTTGAACTGCTGACCCTGAGCCCGATTCGTAACCACTAGAACAGCCCGATTCGTAACCACTAGAAAGGCAACACACACTAGGGGGCATGTTGGCACAACATGACCAACTGGGAGGAACACAAGACTAAAGGACAACTACAGTAATTCCTGTAGTATCAACAATCCTGCAACAATAAAACTAACAGGAATTTACGAATGGTTTCAGTTAGATGGGTATGCTAAAGAGGTATGGGAGGGCACACAGTCTCCTACAGAAATAGATTTGGTTGTGAATATTTCTACACACATAATTATAAGTTGTTTTTGTTATTAAGCTGCAGAAAAAAATGAGGCTTTCTGCTCCATCAAAGATTTACAGCTTTGGAAACCCTATCCAGGGTTGCTATGAGTCAGAATTGACTTGACAATATACAACTACAACCATCACCACTATATGTACTCTATTGCAATGCCACTGAGGGGACTCAGAGGGTTCCTGAGGCTGTAAACATCGGAGGGAGCAGAAAGCCTCATCTTCCTCCTGCAGAGCAGCTGGTGGGCTTGAACCACCGACCCTGTGATTCATAGTCCAGTGCTTATCCTATGGAGCTGCTGCACTCCCATAATCCTAGGTGCTGCATAAATATATTAATATAGAGGACACCAGAGTCACATTCATAGAAACTTCTACACCTTAAGGGACAAAGTTAAAGGACCATAGATTCCCGGTACAACTGTATCAACTGGTACAGCACAGATGCTGAGAGCAGTCATCTCTAGATACAACTATTGGTCTATTTCCATCCAGAGGAAAGGAGAGTGTAGAAAAATCGAAGATTCAAGGAAGCAATGAGTCCAGAAGGCTAACGGACCACATGAACCACAACCTACAAAATCCTGAGACCAAAGAACTAGATGGTGCTCAGCTACCACTACAGACTGCTCTGAGTAGGATTTGGACAGAGTGGGAGGAAAATGTAGAACAAAAAATCAAATTCAAATTCACACACACACACAAAGACTTATTGTCTGACAGAGACCGGAGGAATCCTGACACTATGGCACTAAGACATCCTTCTGATCTGGAACTGAAGCCATTCCCAGGGATCACCTTTAGCCAAACAATAAATAAACCCATAAAATAAACAACAGCATTCTAGAGGAATGTGTTCCTTTGAACATTTCATTACATAAGATCAAAAGGACCACATTTGCCCAAAAGTAAAGTTAAGAAGAAGGCAAGGAGGAATAGAAAATTCAGACAAGAGGAAACGAAGCCCAGGGTGAAAATTGGAGGGAATACAACTAATGTTATGGGGCACTTTATGTACAAATGATTGAATGGGAGACTAATTTGCTCTGTACAGCTTTACCTAGAGCATAAAAAAAATGTTTGGTTTTGTTTTTACTATAGAAGTTTTTGCTACTTCTTCCATGGTTCTCCATCATCAATAGATAAAGTCCAACTTCTTGGCAACGCACCAGGGTCCTCCAGGATCTGGACCCTCTTGTTTTTCCTAGATGATCCTACTATTCCCAGCTCAAGCAACACCAGGATACACAGAATGTTCTTTCCACACCTCTGCCTTATTGATCCTGTTAAAAAGTCTGCCTAGACTAGCCTTCCTTGACTAATTTCTATTTGTTCTTTCAGATTCTGTTCAGATTTTGATAGGAAATGCAGCCAAAGTAGCCCTGAGAGGTAAATGCATAGCCTTAAAATATTTGTTACCAAACAAAATAAACTAATAATAAATGAACTGATTTTTCAATGCCAGAATCAGGAAAAACCCAGCACGCAAACCTTTAAAAAGTATCAGGGCAAATTCCATAAAGAGAAAAAGCAGAAATAGTGCAGTCCTATAGTATTTCTGTCCCTTTCCACTCAGAGTCCCTCAAATTTTTTATCCTCTCTTCAAAGTGGGGATGTACAGTATATGATTGTGTTCTCATGTCCTAAAGCCTTAAAAGTCAGGAAATTCCTTCCTGTGTTTACCCTCGGCCCCTCCTGCTGTTCAGTGTGATACTGTAGGGGACAGAGGACATGGAATACCTGTTGAGTCCTTGAACATCCACATGCTGTCCACCTCCTCCTCCAAAGGGGACCTGCTTTCGGATTCACTGAGTCGGCTGCGCCGATGGGAGTGGGAGATGGGAGCCCGGCGGCGGCTTCTCTTGTTAAGCTGCACCCGAGTCTTTAGGGCACTTGAGTCAAGGACTGAGGTTTGCTTTGAGGACAATGGAAGAGGAAGATGAAAAAAGCAAGGAAATCATCAATTGAGAGTATTAATCATCAATTAGGGCATCACCCACAGAAGCTGGATGTAGCCTTATTGATACACAAGGTATTATTTTGATGGTACAGTGGCTGTCCTTCCCACATTTTAATAATGACCTAGACATCCTGAATTTCTTCAGGAAACATACCATGCGGGCTTACTGTATTGATCAAATGGACCAATGAACCTGAGTGCCCAATCACTGCCTGGCACACACAGCAGGCACACGGTAAAGGGAAACACAGAGATAGGTGGTGACTGTGCAGACACTGGTTGGAAGTGAACCTGGGTCTCCTTCATGGAAGGTGAAAATTCTACCACTCACCCACCACTACCCTCCAGAACATTTCACACACATACTTTGATTCTGGTGAGGTCAACTGGACAACAACTGGTTTTGGAGTTCCTGGGTGGTGTCAACAGTTAAGGTGCTAGACTGCCGATTGAAAGGTTGGAGGTTCAAGTCTACTACTCAGAGGCAATCTACTTCCAAAATATCAGTTACTGAAAACTCCATGGAGCAGTTCTATTTGACACATACAATGTCACCATGAATTGGAGCAGACTCAAGAGCAAGTGGTTTCTGGTTTGTTCAGAAAAGGGCTCTCAAGCCCAGAAGCTCTCATCCAGCTCCCTCTTCTATCCAGAATAATCTATGGTGCAGGTCTGGGAGTAGAGGAACCAGCCTGCTAAGTCCTCAGCACTCATTCTCATTCATCCTAGAGGATATACATGATGAGCAGAGGAGGGTAAATGATGCTTTCAAAGATCTCAATGGAAGGGCCATGGGTGCAGACCATCCCAGGAAGGGTAGCAGTGGGTCCAGCAAGGAGATAAGGCAGCAACTGGTTCCGTGATCTCCTGGGAGAGGGTAACGTAGAACCAGATCTCTGGGTCAATATCCTGCTCAATTTAAATACTAGCTGTGTGACCTTTGGTTTGGCCAAATACTAGACTAGTTGCTGATCTAGTCTAAATGTGATGTGATGTGATGTCATGTCATATCATGCCATGTACTATATTATACAATACTATAATGAATGCAGTTAATATAATATAATTAATGTAATATAAGTATACTTTCCATAATATAATGCCATCAGCTCCCATAATGCCATGTGATATGATTTCATCACTCTCCAGGGTATATATAATCTCATGTAACCCATCAATCTTTAGGAAGCAATGACTGGTTTCAGCACAGACTTACATCAATGAAGGAGAAGTCATCCATTCTCTGAGTGGAGCAGGCATCTGGCAGGGGTGGTCCCTCTGTCCCATCGGTGGAGTCCAGGTCGGCACTTGAGCGGTCCACACTGGTGCTTCGCTGCCCCCTGGAGCCATCATTCAGGTCCCCAGCTGAGGTGGGCTCTGTCTGGGATGACAGAGAGGACAAGCGGCTGCTGGGTGGCTGTCTCCGTGTCGATGTGGCACTGCTGTCTGGGGACGAGGACTTGGGGGCCAAGCTGCAGAAAGGGGAGGAAAGGAGACACAGTCAAAGAGGCTGCTTTGGAGAACAGAAAGGATGTGCTGTGTACTCGCATGTGAACAGCAAGGGGTCAGTCTCACCCTGCTCAAGAAGGCTCAAAGCCTGTACTATCCAAACTGGAAGCCATGCACCCTGAGTGGCTATTGAGCGAACTCTTATGATCTACAGGGTTGGTGTGACTGATTTTTGGAAGTAGATCAGCAGGCCTTTTGCCTAGTCTGTATTACTCTGAAGCTCCGCTGAAACCTTCCCGGCATCAGAGCACCAGGCAAGGCTCCACTGAGAGATGGGTGGTGACTGTGTAGACACTGGTCGGCACTGAACCCCGGGTCTCCTTCATGGAAGGCGAAAATTCTACCACTCACCCGCCACTACCCTACAGAACATTTCACACATCATGTGTCTCTCCCATAGTACTATTGGGGAGTTCTACACTGGACAGCGCTTAACAACTCTGACACCCTAAGTTGGAATTGACTCAAGGGTAACTTTTTTTTTTTTTTTAAAGAGAATTGAAACCACATAAGATAGAGAAAATTTATAAATAAACCAAGTCATTACTTGCTCTTCCCACAAATACACATTTAAAAAACAAACTAAGAACATGTAAGAGCCCAGCAAAGCATTCATGGGCTAGGTTGTTGTTGTTGTTGTTAAGTACCATGGAGTCAGTTCTGACTCATAGCGACCCTGTACAGGGTTTCCGAAGCTGCAAATCTTTACGGGAGCAGAACGCCTCATCTTTCTCCTGAGGAACAGCTGGTAGTTTTGAACTGCCAACCTTGAGGTTAGCAGCCCGATTCGTAACCACTACACTATTAGGAGCTGGGTTGTTTTTGTTGTTAGGTGCCATTGAGTCAGTACCGGCTTATGCACAGCAGAATGAAACACTGCCCAATCCTGGGCCAACCTCACTACTGTTGCCACATTTGAGTCCATCGATGCTGCCACCTGGCCAGTCCATCTCATTGGGGGTCTTCCTCTTTTTCTCTGACCCTCCACCTTACCAAACATGATATCCTTCTCCAGTGAATGGTCCCTCCTGACAATACGTCTGACGTATGAGAGACAAAGTTTGGCCATCTTGGCTTCCAAAGAGCACTCTGGCTGCACTTCTTCCAAAACGGATCTATTGATTCTTTTGACAGACCATGGCACTTTCAATAGTCTCCTCCAACACCAAAACTCAAAAACATCAATTCTTCTACAGTCTTCCTTATCCATTGTCCCGCGTTCACATGCATATGAGGTTATTGAAAATACCATGGCTTGGGTCTGGTGCACCTTAGTCCTCAAGCTGACATTTTTGCTCATCAACACTTTAATAAGGTCTTGTGCAGCAGATTTGCCTAATGCAATAATATGTCATTTGAGTTCTTGACTGCTGCTTCCATGAGTGTTGATAGTTGATCCAAAAAGAATGAAGTCCTTGACAACTTCAATCTTTTTTCCTTTAATAAGAATGCTGTTTATTGGTCCAGTGGTGAGGATTTTTGTTTTCTTTACATTGAAACGTAATCCATACCTAAGTATGGGGCTGAGTAGGACAGGACGTCAATCCCTTGAGCTCTACCTCCGCCCTGGGAAGGTCTGCCCCAAGACATCCCAAGGTGCTGCACATCAGAATTACAATCACATTTTTGACAGCTTTGGGATAATGTGATTGCTTGGAATAAATAGGATGTTGGGGTTACGAGGTGAGATTGAGACAAATCTAGCCCAAAATGTGGGCAATATTGCAGCAGAAGCAGCAGATGGCGCCACCACCCCATGACTGGGAGAACAGACGCTCCCTAGCCTGGTACTGAGGGAAGACAGCAGGGGGCGCTCACCCAAGGAGCAATCCCAGGTCTCAACCCTTCTCTAAGAACTGGGGCGCTGAGACCAGGAAAGAGAATGGAGCCTCCCCAGGGTCACATGGTAAGATAGGCAAAACTGAGACCCAGCTTTCCAGAATTGTAGTTCGGGGATCTTACAAGCACTTTCTAGTAAAATATAAGGGGTCTCAAAAGGTTTATGGAAAATTCCATTATCTTTTCATTCCATCTTTCCATAGTTTTTGAAGCCCCGTGGTATAGGTAAGCTCATCAACTACACACATTTCACAGGTTAACAATCATAAATATTTCCCAGACACCATCAGAAACTTCTGCTTCCATTTTCCTGTTGTTGCTGCTGGGTGTTGGTTTCTACTCATAGCGATCCTATGAGAAAGCGTTTAACTGCCCCATAGGGCTTCGGAGTCTGTCCATGTTTATAGGAGCAGGCTGCCAGGTCGTTTTTCCATGAAGTTGATGGTGGGTTCGAACCACTGGCTTTTTGTGCTTAACTGCTGTGCCACCAGGGCTCCTTGCTTATTAACTAAATGTTTCATAGATTGACTTCCCCCCCCCCCCCCAAAAAAAAAAAAAAAAAAACTTTCCTGGGAAACTATCTGAAACCTCTGCTTCTTTTTTCCTTTTTCCATCAATTCCATCATCAGCTATTGCTATGGGACATTATCCCGTGGAGCGGTCTGACTAGTCCTAATGGAAAGAAACTGAGGTTCGAGTCCAACACAGCTACAGCCACACTGGGTAGTCCCTGCTTCTCTCCCTAAGCCTTGGTTTCCTTGATGGGGCATGCTACCCACAGGTGGGGAAACTGAGTCACGCTGTGCATGACACAGTTGATTTAAGACTATGAACCTGCAGACATGGGCTGCAGAGAGCTGACTCCACCGGCTCACAGGGGCAGGTTCCTGTGCTCTATCCATCCAGAAGGGAGGTTATACATTGTAGCAATAGTGTATCAAGCTCCTACTAAGCACCAGAATAATGGTAATTGTCATCCTGTTATCCTCCCATGAATCCTCAGGCTATAGGGGGCTTCTCCTCTGCAAAACGAGGTCACGGGGTTAAATGAGTTCACCAGTTGAAGTGGCTACAACAGTGCCAGGCACAGATGTTCAACAAACACTGGCTGTTTTCTTAAGTCTTGGTGGTGCAGCAGGACTGTTATCCTAAAGGTATGTAGTTCTAACCCACCAGCCACTCCAAGAGAAAGATGAAGCAGTCTGCCTCGGTAAATACTGACAGACTCGGAAACCCTAGGGAGCAGTTCTACTTTGCTCTGTGGGGTTGCTGTGAGTAAGAACAGATTTGATGGCAAGTGGGTTTAGTTTGGTTTTGAATTTACGTATATAAATATGAGGGGGCTCTTTAAGAAGTTGGTGGGAAAATTCCATTATCTTTTAATTCCATTCTTCCACCTCATACACAATCTATCCTCATTACTGATATTACTGCTACAGAGGAAGCTGGAAGGTGGACTTAGTATTTGCGAACTCACTAATTTGATGAAAATAGTCAAGGGGAGTTTGCATGCATGGAATAGCGGGAGCTTCCCAGCTGAGGTGGAACAAGGCTGGTTGAGTATTAGTATTATTTCAATATCTGTGGGGTCTTTATAGGACAGAACTACCACAAGTACTGAGAACGGACTGGATGGATAGACAGACATACAGGTATGGATACACAGATCTAGATATAGATACACATACACAGATATATATATATAGATAAAAAATCACAGCAATATATAGAACAAAAGTCTGGCATACAACAGAGACACATGGGACAAAACCATTACTGAAAGTGATGCCTGCAATTCAGGGATTACAGGCCCTTCTCATTCATTTTCTTTATCTTTTTTTTTTGGTCCTTTCTAAATGTCTTTTGAAAACAAGAATGATAACAGAAACTATCAAAACAAACAAACAAAAACCATGGCTTTCCAGTTGATTTTGATTCTTAGTGACCCCAGAGGAAACAGTGGAACTTCCCCATAGGGTTTCCAAATCTCAATGAAGCAGGCAGCCTCACCTCTCTCCCTCAGAACAGCTGGTGTCTTTACACAGTCGACCTATCAGTTACCAGCCCAATGCTTAACCCACTGTAGTAGCGTTGATTTCAACTCATAGCGACCCAAAAAACAAGAGTAGAACTGCCCCACAGGATTTCTGAGACTGTCAACCTTTATGGAAGCGGACTGTCTCAGCTTTCTTCCCTTGGAGCGGCCTGATGGGTTCAAACTGTTGACCGTTAGGTGAGCAGCCTAACACTTAACTCACTGCACCACCAGGGCTCCTTACGATAGACCATGCCACTGTTGTTAAGTGCTGTTGTGTCGCTCCCACCTCATAACTACCCTGTATAGGATTTCTGAGGAGTGCCTGGTAGGTTCGAACCACTAACCTTGCAGTTAGCAGTCCTGTACTTATTCTACTGCACCATACCAGAACTCCATTACAGACCATTATTGTTGTTGTTAAATGCCATCGAGTCAGTTCTGACCCATAGTGACCTTGTATTGGGTTTCCAAGGAGCAGCTGGTGAGCTTGAACTGATCACTTTGTGGTTCAAACCGACTTTGCAGTCCAGCTCATTAGCCGACAGCACCATGCCAGGTCTAATAATACAGAAATCAGCAGCAGGTGGAGACCGCTGCCTACCTCTCCCCACTCTGACGCTGTTCCGTCCACGTCCCATACTGGCTGTCAGCTTCCTGTACAAGGGAGTCTGTGTCCTTGGCCTCGGGCGGCCGCCTGGAAAAACACTGCTTCAGCTGGTCCTGCAGAGACAAACCAGAGGAGAGATTTTGTTGTGGGGGAAGTGCTCAGGATGCCATAGCAACTGACACAGATCACGTAAAGTCACATCACTGGGGTTCAATCCTACCCCAGCTTCCCACTGTTCTTGGACCCCCAAAATCCAAAATTGTTCCCATGGAGTCAGCTCTGACTCATGGTAACCCTGTTTGTTACAGGTTTTCTTGGCTGGAATCCTATGGAAGGAGATTGCCAGGTCTTTCTTCGGCAGCACTGTGGAGTGAGTTTAAACCACTGACCTTTAGGTGAGCAGCCGAGCACAAACACTTGTCCAATCAAGCACCTGCAGCTCCCACCCACACCACACACCAAACCCACTGCTTTTCAACTCATAGCAACCGACAGGACAGAGGAGAACTGCCCCATAGGGTTCCAAAGGTTGTAAGTCTTCATGGGAGCAGACAGTTTCATCTTTCTCCCTCAGAGAGACTGGGTCAGTTTGAATCGCTGACCTTGTGGCTAGCAGCACACTATTTAACCACTTTGTCACCAGGGGTCCCATTGTGCTTCTGTCACTGCAGTGTGCCCTGGAGTTAGTTCCAACTCATAGCGACCCTGTGTAGGGTTTTCAAGGAGCAGCTGGTGGGTTTGAACTGTCAATGTGTGGTTAGCAGTCTAGTGCTTATCCTACAGTGTCAAAACAGATGCAAATATCTTGGCTAGGCACTGGGGTGGGTAACCACCCTGGTTGACCGATGACTGAGGGATGTGGGACTTGCAGTGTGAAAACTGAGCAAGTGGGGATGAACTGGGTGTCTTTCCTGGAGTCGCCCAGTCTCTCTCTAGCTCACTGATGCCTGCCTCCCACCACAGTCAGACAGAACCTCTCTCAGTTGTCAATGTTCCTTGGACTGTCTGGTCTAGCCCAAGGTGGGGTCCCCCATCTCCACCTCACCCCCACTTGGAGAAGATAACCTGAATCAGGTGTCATGGTAAGCCAATGGCATGGATCATCTCCCCACCACAATCTCATGTGGTAGCTCTAACTATCATCCCATTGTACAGATGTAGTAAACTGAGGCCTAGACAGGTGAAGCAACAAGCTCCAAATCAAATGAATCCCATAATGACAAGTGGAATTCAAACCCGGGCAGTAGCCATGGACCACAAATCCTCACTGGTCATGCTGTTGTGACCTGTCCAGTTATGGGTCCTGCCCTTGGCGTCCCAAGGGGGCAAGCACTCTGGTGGTGCTGACCATAGGGCTCTCCCCAGACAGCCCGTAAATCTCCACTGAAGGAGTCAACAAACTGGTCAACAAACTAAAAGCCCACTCTCGGGTGACGTAACCATGGAACTGGCCACCGCTGGGGCTTTTATTTTGAGTGGGGAGGAGCTGGAAGGCCACTGATGACCTAAAATGGCCCAGGCTGCCTGAGGTTAGACCTATGCTCCCAGGTGCCATGTTTTAGAGGGGAACCCTTGATTGAATTGAAGGCAACTAGCAACAATCACCTGTGGCTCCTTAACTTCAACTTTAACCAATTAAGATGAAATAATATTAAGAATTCAGTTCCTCGGTTGTACTAAACCACATTTCATGGTCACCCATGACTGGTGACACAGTACTGAACAGCACAGATCTAGAACTTCCCATAAACATAACTGACCACCTGCCCAGAAACAATGCTGTGTTTGGAGTCAGAATACCTAGATTTGAATTCAACCTCCATCACCTACACAGAAATAGCTGTGTGACCTTGAGCAAGTTACTTAACCTCTCTGGGCCTCACTCTCTGGCACCAAACCCAATGTCATCGAGTGGATTCTAACTCACAGCAACTCTACAGGACAGAGTAAAACTGCTCCCTAGGGGTTCCGAAGCTGTGCCTCCCCTTTCTTTCACGGAGCTGCTGGTAGGTTTGAACTGCCAAACTTTGAACACTCAACCAAGTAGACCACTAGGACTCCTATCTGGCACATAGCTGATATTCATGATCTGGTTGACTGTCACAGCGATGGCATTTACTATACTTCCAGATTGTTGTTGGTAAGTGCCATTGAGTCAATTATGACTCACAGCAACCCTACACAGGGCTTCCGAGGAGCAGCTGGTGAATTTGAACCACCAACCTTGCAGTCCACACCACCTTGTTGTCGAGTGCTTATCCTATAGTGCCACACCAGGACTCCTCTCTTCCATGTAGACCTCCAATTTTGGAGCCATTTAGGGGTTAGGATTATCTAAGGGAATTCATTGTGTAAATGAGGCTTAAGAAAGTAAGCTGTTTATCTGCATGTTTGCCAGCTAGTATCCTGGTAACCATGTGCTCATTACAAATTATTTATGTCTTATCACTCCAGCAGACCCTGGCAGCACTTCAGATCCACAATGCTCATGATTACCTCCAGCCACGGCGCTCAAGATCAACCAGAAATAAAAAGTCCAGGAACTCTTATAAAACTTTGTCCAAGTCTATCTTTCTTTTCTCCCCCGTTTTCAGGAAAGACATTTTCCTAATTCATCTGATCTCACTGATGCCAGAAGAGCAGATATCAACAAGATAGTCTGAAAATGCAATTGGGAGCCAACATAAACATGGAAGAACTGCCTCGGGGACCACGTTGTTCTGATTCGTGACAACCCCAAATGCTCTTGTCACAGGACCAGATCTCCAGGTCTTTTCTCCTGGTGACCTGCTGGATGGGTTCAAGTCACTGACCTTTCCTTTAGCAGGCGAGCGCTAAACTGTTGCATTACTAGGATTTCTTCCTTAGGAATTTTAAAATAAAACAAACAAACAAAAAATGCCATTGAGTTGATTTCTCTTAATGACCCTCTAGGGCAGAGTACAACTGCTCCATTAGGTTTCTGAGACTGTTGATCTTTATGGGAGCAGACTGAGTTTGAACTGCTGACCTTGCAGTTAGCAGCCCGGTGCTTAACTTTCTGCCCCACCAGGGTTCCTTTGTTGTTATTGTTGTTGTTAAGTGCTGTCAAGTTGGTTCCAACCCATAGCAACCCTGTATAGGATTTCCAAGGAGCAGGTGCTGAGCTTGAACCACCATCCTTGTAGTTCAATGGCTTTGCAGTCTGGCGCATTAATCCACAGAGCCGTAACAGGGCTCCTTAGGAGCTTATATATCAAAATGTGTCCCCATCAGGGGCATGTGCTAATTCCCTGTGACAGGCACCCCTAATTGGGATCAGGGCCCGGTTTGTCTTTTGTCCAGTAGAGCTGAGAGGACCTTGAGCTCATTTGGTCAGCTCTTCCTTTTCAAATGAAATCAGACACAGAAAGAAGTGTGCAGCTCAAAAGTCAGAGGTGAGGGGCTGCAGCCCAGCAGTTCCCCTTTGTCCTGAGGCTCTGGGAGGTCCTAGTAAGGAGACAGATACAAACATACTCTGGAAGGCTTCAACAACTTGGCAAGTTGACAAACTACTTGCTCACCAAGCCCCAAAGCCACTGATGGCTGAGGACTAGGGGGCTGGTCTGACTGTCTCTACTCATAAGCTATCCAGGACGGCTGGGGAAACCAGGCTAACTAAACAAGACGTAACACATGTCACGAAATTTAAAACATGTATACCCTTTGACTCAGCAATTTTAGTTCCAGAAGTATATCTCGGAGAAATCATTATATACTTGCCAAGATTTTTGAAAACAGATACTCCTTGCAGGGTTGGTTATTATTGCACAATTTTGGGAACAACCTAAATGTTAGAAAAACCATAAGAAGAGGATTGGTGAAATATGAGCTTGGAATGCGCTCAGCCAATGAAAATGATGTTCAGAAATATTTACTGTCCTGGAAAGATGTCTACCACACACTGTTATTGTTAGGTGCTGTTGAATTAGTTCCAACTCAGCAATCCTGTGTACAACAGCAAGAAACCCTGCCCGGTCCTGTGCCATCCTCACAATCGTTCCTATGCTTGAACCCACCATGCAGCCACTGTGTCCATCCATCTTGTGGAGGGGCTGAACATTATGTCCTTCTCCAGGCACTGGTCCCTCCTGATCACATGTCCAAAGTATGTAAGAAGTCTTGCCAACCTAGCTTCTAAGGAGCATTATTCAGCTGTACCTCTTCTGAGAATAACTTTTTATATGCCATACACTAGCAAAGAAGCTCTGGTAGCATAGTGGTTACAAGTCGGGCTGCTAACCTTAAGGTCAGCAGTTCAAAACTACAAGTGGTTCTGCGGCAGAAAGATGAGGATTTCTGCTCCGTAAAGATTTACGGCCTTGGAAACCCTATGCAGAGTCGCTATGAGTTGGAACCGACTCCATGGCACACCACCACTACCACACCATACTAGGAAATAATTATAGAGTCCTGGTGTGGCACTGTAGGATAAGCATCGGACTGCTAACCTTACCATTGGTGGTTCAAACCCACCAGCTGCTCCTATAAGTTGGAACCTACTCAACAATACTTAACAACAACAAGAAAACAAATAATTATGGAGCGTTGGTGGCACTACAGGATAAGCAATGGACTGCTAACCACAAGGTCCAGCAGTTCAAATCGACCAGTTGCTCCTCAGGATAAAAATGAGGCTTTCTGTCATAAAGATTTATAGTCTCGGAAACCATTTAGAGGGTTACTATGAGTCAGAACTGACTAGACAGCACCAAATAAAAACAGCATATGATACTAACAATAACACTGGATACTAACAATAACACTGCGATACTAACAATAACACTGGATACTAACAATAACACTGGATACTAACAATAACACTGGATACTAACAATAACACTGGATACTAACAATAACACTGTGATACTAACAATAACACTGCGATACTAACAATAACACTG